ATATATATATATTTATATATATATAGTTTCCAAGGCAGAGGCCAAAAACAGCTCCTCTCGACAATTTCACAAAATATATTGCTTAAAACGATACAAACTAGACATCAAACCTGCATCTATGCTCGCCAACACCTGCTGGAGCTACGGTCATAAATTGTTTTCAATATTTTCACCTTTTTCACCATTTAAAAAACTGCGGAGTGCTACGGAATCATGTCAACAAGACAATAGCTGAAAATAATAATATAATAATAAAGACTGAGAAAGCGGGGATACAGAGGGGGGCCATCTGTGAAGCAAAAAAGAAATCCCCACAGACCACCGCTTTCATCAATCCTGCTCTCTAATGTCCGCTCGTTGGAAAACAAAATGGATAATCTCTGACTCAAGCTCTCTTCAAAAAAGGAGATACGTAACTACTGCGCCATCATTCTGACGGAGTCTTGATTGCATCCAGGAATAGAGGGCAATGCTATTAGCCTGGAGGAGCTAACTCTGTACCGGGTCGATAGAAACAAAGAGCTCTGCGTGATTGGAAACTCCTCTGAGACGGTTCCCAGGCAATCTTCAGCATCTAGAAGGGAAGCACAGTCCTCTGCAGGTGAAAATGAGGAGAGCACTCTAGATGCTTCCCTGCCAAATGCTGAAACATCCCTAGCCGGCTCCTCCCAGACCCCTCCAGCTTCCACACCTTCTCCAGCATCGTCTGTCACTGCTGAAACCTGCCGATGGCACCACTGCTGCTTCAACCTACATCAGCCTCTTCACCCACGGGGCTACCACCCTCACAGCATCGTCACCATTGTCCTCATCCTCTCCTGAGCCAGGAGAAGTGAGTGCTTCAGGAGCTGGAGGCAGTAGTAGCAGCTCAACAACAACTGATGGGGTGAAGCCCAGGAAACAGGCCCCTAATGCTCCAGCATCAGATCCTCTTCCACAGGGGTAAAAATCCCATTTGGATGCTGTGATCCTATCAAGATCACTGCTGCCAAGCAAACATGAATGATGTGCATTCCATAACTAGATATAGTGACTTAATATCACAATGTTTTTTTTTTCTTATTACTGCTGCTTCCCTTATCAAGGCTGCACTTTAAAAAGGAAATTGTTTAGAGAGCTGTTCTAAATGAAATTTCTTTTTGTTTACACTTGTGTATACAAAATGACAAAATAAATCTGTCTATATATATATATATATATATATATATATAAGAACTGCTCTACTAAGGTTTTAAAGAACTTTTATTTTGTTTTCACTGTCTGGTCACCATCAGCAGCCGTAACTGCTTTCATCCTTCAGCGACACAACACAGATTTTGATTGCATACAAAAACATTCTACTGGGAAAAACTGTTATGCACTAATATTAATATTAATAATTAGGGGTTAGAAAAAATTATCATTGTTGTCATTACAAATATCATTTTAAAATGTTGCACAAATTGTTGGCTTAGAATGCATACATAACATGCAGAGAGAACTTATATAGAAAATAACCATAATATCATTCAAAAAAGTGGCATTTCACATTTGCTTTCTTAACTATTATAAAAGCATTTTAAGCACTATGGTAAGGATGGTGGTCTTTAAATGCATGCAAATGAGTAATTTACAAAACAGTGGAGGCGTTTTGGCTTGCTTTTTTCAGCAGGATTGTTTTAATTCAGCCACACGGAAGGATTTTCCGGTTTAACGTTGCTATCTATCTCTATTTTAGCCTGGAGCTTTGAAAAACCCACTTACTGTGAAATCTTTTATTTGGTTTATTTTTGGAACAATTCCTTATATAGTTTTCTGGTGTTCTGTGGATGATTTTTCAGATACTTTACTCCAGTGTCCTTGAATTTAGTGCCACAAACTACTGCCTAGTTGTTAACCATTAAGGTTTCCTCAAAACAGTAGAATTTCATGTTTTATAATTTTTGTGAAATCATTGTTTTTGTTTTTAAAAGCTGACATATTTTAATTAAACCAAGAAAAATGCTCTACCTGGTTTTCTCAAAAAATATTTAATTCAATTAAATTGTACTTTATTAATCGCTGAAAGGAAAGCCTGTCAAACAACACAAAAACAAACAGAAAGACAGTACACAAACGTTACACATGGGGGGGACACGGTGTCTGAGGCCTTGCTGCCACAAAAAGCGCTACAATTATAGTAAGAAAAACAAAACAAAGTGATCACAATAGGGCAGAGGAGGAAAATAATCATATTTCATACTTTATCCTTAGCAGGATACAGTTTGAGATTGCAAAATGAGACAGAAGAAGGGCGGTGAACATCAATGGGTACTCTTAGTGACAAAGCATTGGTGTATACTCATTTTCCAATGGTTTAGGCCATGTGGCCCTTAGGTAATATGAATGAATTTGAATGAATGAATGAATGAATGAATGAATGAATGAATGAATGAATGAATGAATGTGTAGACAGTCTTCAAACCCTGCTATGTATTCTTTTTAAAACGACCCTGATATTTTTTTCCACCACGCTAGCATTTAAAAAAAGTTTTTGTTTTGTTTTAGATGGCTGACACTGAAAAGTACACACATACTGTATATCATTTCAGTAGAATTCACATGTCCTGCTGTGACATGACTGGGTAGGGTACCTTCTTTTATATATAATTTTCTATCAATAAAATAAAATAAAAAATAAGATTTAAAAATATGTTTAAGAGAGGCCTTGAAGAAAGAAGTTCTAAGCAATGATTTTAATGTAATAATGACAATATTTATCTAACAGATAATAATGAAAATTCTGAATATCATTTATAGCGCACTTCTAATAAGTAGTCTTATTTAAAAGCGATAAAAACAGAACATGATGAAATGATACAAATAACAAAAGTTACACTAAAATATAAAAGATGACTGTCTTAAAAAATCTACAAATTGGTAAATAGAATCTATCTGTGTGTGATTTAGTTACCATAAATATCATGTTATTTTTACAAAGTAAAAATAACAAAAGTTAATACAAAATGTGAAAAAACATACTTTAGCATTTATATGAAAGTTATTAAGTGTAGTCCCGGCAACCTTTTAAAAAAAACTGTCTGGATAACTGCCACATCATTTTAACTCTGGCCGCCTAGAACTTCCTTTCCTGCCTTATTGAAATGTTGTTTTTGTTTATTTATTTTGTTCAGTTTGGTTTTTCAGTTAAGCGCACTGAGAGCAATAGAAGTGTTTGAAGTAGGTGCCCATTAATAAAATACATTCAGCCAGTAAGTGTTGAAGGTTATTGAGGCTGATAAAGTGCTACTCAAAGTCAGGACAGATTACCTTCACAGGCTCAATCACACCCCACACACACACAAAAAAGAAATTTCAACTTATGTTCTGCTCAGTATCAAAGTTATTTCTCCAGCTTTTCCCCATCTGCTATGTTCAAAGTGTTGCAAATGATCCATTCTATTTAAAATTTCCTTGACTTTTACCATTTTGCACCTGCTTTCTCCACCTTCCTCTCCTAGCTACTCCTATGGTCTGTCGTGTTATATTCTCTCATCCCATCCTCTTCTGTCTCCCTCACCGTCTGCTCCCCATTGCAGGCCGCCTCCCGCCTTCTCTCTGGCTGGTTGGTTGATTCATTGTATTGTATGTTGGCTGCAGGTTTACCGAGGGAAGAGCACCCCTGCTGTGGACCGACTATGTGTGGGCGTGCCTGCTGCAGAGGTGAGCCAGATGCTACTAGATTACACAAGCAACTACTTAACTGTAAAGTTTTTTAAGAACTGTTGTCTATTAGGAGGACTTTTTTGTACTTAAGGCTTTTTTAATGACCAATTTAGATAAAGCATTTATCTGTTATCACTCAAGAAATCTCAGTTATGGTTGGTGTTGAAGCAAATCATTGATAGAATGATTATTGTTTTGCAAAGGTGTAGAATAAAATGTACAGTCATTCCTGATATGTATGTCTTTGCAAGGTGAAAGTATTAGACATCAGCTTTATTGTCTTTTAACATATTAAAAGTTAATTTATGTATCGGCTTCTCCAGTAGACACAGAGACAAATCTATTTTATTATCAGCATATATCTATAATAACAAAAAAACATTCTTTCACTTTGACCAATGTTCTGGTAGCTTTTCTACCTAAATATTGGCTTCATATCCAACTCAGTGAAAATCATTAGTCTTTTGATTAAACAAAATTGGTACAAAACTGTATTTTAGAGATGGCTACATTTGGCCTTTTTTACAGGACAATTTTTTTTTCTTGATATATAACCTCTAAGTGGGTGCCTCTATAAATGTTGAGTTTATCATTTAAATACCTTAAAAGGCGCTCGAATTTGTGTTGATTATGTAAAACATTTAATAGTGACCAAAAAGCCAGAGGCCCATACCTTTGAACAACATTATGTTTGAACCTCTTTGTTTAATGTTAAATTTTCATTCAAGTCTTTATGTTGATGTAACATTGAGGTTGTACCAATAAATCAAAAAAAAATTTTATTCAGACACACAGACCATGATAAACAAAGAATAACACTAAAAAACACACTACAAGTAGAATATCCTTCCATCACCATTAGTGTTGCACCGACACCGATACCAGTATCAGGCGGGGCCCCAATCCAGCATTAAAATGGTGGTATCCATATTGGTGGGTACCGACAAATAGGGCACCGATACCATTTTGAAAGCCAAAAGTTTATTCAACTATTGTCACTCATTCCATGGAGGTAATAAAAAATTCCACTGGATTCACTTTGTATTAGTCTTTTTCCTGCTTCACAAAGGTAGACAGCAGCTTGACAAAGCCATGATGGCAATTATTTTACATCCAAGTAGTATGCAGTTCTTCATATACACACACACACACATCAATTTCTAACAGATGGTATCGGTATGGTATCAGTATCGGCCAATACTGCACAGCCAAGTATCGGGTATCTTGGCCAAAAAATGGCATCGGCGCAACCACAGTACAAACTAAGGCGTCATTGATAAGAAAATAACCTAAATGAGATTATAATGATTATAAAGTACGATACAGCAGCACAGGTGGACACAATTATATTAACATACATCACACTTGCAGTACTCCTTCATGGCACCTTGAGCAACATCCTCATGACATCATTGTAAACCCCATGCAGTTTGTGCATGCTGCTTTGTCTATAATGCCACTGTAGGTACCAGATCCACTGTGGTCAGATCTGCTCTGGCCCTGCGCCTGCCAGTGACATTACACATAACATAAAACATTGTAGTTGCCCTAACAACGTGTCTAATGACAGATAAAGTTTTACCTGATTGATGACAAAGCTAAAAAAAAACATATTTATGGTGAACAAAGTAACTGCAAGACCAAGACTGTATAAAGGGGGAGAGGTAGGTAGTGTTGTGACTAGTTTACTAACAGGTTAGCCTATTTACCTTGGTCAGTTAGCCATATTACTGTAAGCTACACTTCTTTTAACTCCTTTTCAACAACAAACGTTCAGTAGAATAACTGTTATTCTGTTTGTCTAAATTCTCCATGATATTTCATTTTTTCAGATGTTCCATTTGTCCTCCACTGCCCTTAGATTCTAATAAAAAGAATAAAAAGAAGGACTGAGACTTTTTTTTTAGTCACCTTGTTAAATAGTGGAGTGGCGGCCTAGTGGTTAGGGCATAGAGCTTGGAATCATGTCACTTTGGGTCTCTGGGCAAAGACCCTTAACCCCACACTGCTCTTTGGGCGCCACACAATGGCAGCCCACTGCTCCTCAAGGGAATGGATTAAATGCAGAGAGTTAATTTCTCCATTGTGAGGTCAATAAAGTTCAGTTTCTTTCCTTTTCTTTTTTCTATCCTTTTTTTGGTCACTTTGTTAAATGGTAGAGCTGTCTGTCTTAGAAGGCAGTGCTTTCCTTCAAGACTGAGAATAATTATTTTCTACTTTTGGCTACTTTATGCAAATGGAATATAAAATAATAGCAAATGTAGGTAGTAATATGCTGAGACTCCAGAAGAAAGTTTATTCTTATGAAACGGGTGTAGTACAATTTGTCCAAATGGTGTTGCCATATAATGATGCCCCGAGCAGATCTGTTACCTACACCATCACAAGTGGGCAGTATACATTTGAGTACAATGAACTAATAAGTGCACCATTAAAGTTTAATTTTCTACAGAACACATAGAGAACCTCTTGTACATATCGTATACAATGCTGTCTGTAAACATCTCTATCATCAGACACATGACCAGTTATATAATGTACTGACTGAAAATATAGCCAGACAGAGTAAAGTTAGGAAAACATAGTTCAGCATCATCTTTGCTCCTGACAATCATGTTACTCTTTTTTGCATTATATGTAATTTTATAATCCAACCTGTACTGTGAGTGAAGCCTTAACAGTTGCTACAGGCCAGCACTATATGGACAAAAGACCACATAGTCATCAGCACACATCAGGTGTATGTCGTCTAACTAGTACCAAAATCATTGTGATGATAATGGACAAATTGACTATGAACTTCTGACCAGAGCTTTTGCTTTTCAATACTTAAAGCTATAGTTTTTGTCTTTCCTCCACCTGAGTTAAATCTTATAATACTCCAGCTCATTAAAACCAGCAGAACAACCAGTCTTCATGTTTCATAGCTTTATATGACTGTTAGATATATGTGTGCTACTATAAACACACAAAGATTAAAGAGTAGAAAGTGGCAAAGGCGTTTGAATCTGATTTATTGTTGCAACCTTGTAAATTGGAACTGGGTAAATAAATTGTTTAATAGCAATCTTTTTATAGCATGTTATACATTACACATGGCTTAAAAACTGCTGCATACACGCTTTTAAACAAAGCGTGAAAGGCTGACACTCATCGGGGCTCAGAGGGCTTTCCCGCTGGTCCCCATCGACCCTGCTGGTGTTTACCCAGAGCCCAGTGTAAATGCCAGAAGACTATTGTGATTCCTGGTGCTCTGCTGATCACACGCTGCACTTCCATGCATTATTTACATGGAGCTTAGCCCTCCTCATCGTGTTCATGGACACAGGTCACAACCAAGCAGGGCTCAATAGATAAGGGGAATTAAGTATTTATGCCAAAGCCAAACTAGCTAAGACCAACGGCGGAGGGGTCACATGACCAAGAACAGAGAGGTCTGCAGAAACAACTTTGTTTCATGCGGAAGTCGTGCTATCGGCAGCGTCAGGAGGAAAATAAAGACAGAGGAGGGTGTTTGTTGTTGCAGTGTGCAGAGATGAGAAGAGGCCCAGGGACTAGCAAGGCTCTCACAGTGTTGTTGATTTATTGTCTGTTTTCTTTGTGCACACAATACGTCTATTTGTTATTTTGTAAGACACCAAACTACTCATGCAGACACTGTAAATTGCAGCTTCAATCATCTGCCTTGGATGAACGTGCACACTTTCCATATGTGCAGTAAATTGTACTTGCTAATGAACATACAAATTATTAGCAATGCAAGTGAGAATGTTGCTCTGTCAGTTTTCCAGTGAGACTTCCAGTGTTTTCCTAACTTATGGCCCTCTCTCTGCTCTAGTGTTTCGGCTTACTGGGGATCAATGGTGCTGGAAAAACTACGACGTTCAAGATGCTGACAGGAGACATCCCAGTCTCCGGCGGAGAGGCCTTTCTAAATGGATACAGGTGAGGCTCCAGGTCCCACTTGTGCACAGAGTAACTTATCTCAATTAGCCACCCAAGATAGCTGCTCAGGTGGGGATCGGGCTCTTCTGCTCCTCTCTCTCTTTCTCTTTTTCTAATCGTAGTAGTCTGTGTATCTTTTTTTTTTTTATTACACTCTTTTACCATTACTGTTCTATTGTCAGGTTTTCTGAACACATCTAAAAAAGTATGCATTTAAATTCTGATACGTATTCTGATACCCCCCACACACAAGGTGTTAGGTTAATTGGCTTCTCTAAATTCTCCTTATGTCTAAGTGTGTGCCTAAATGGATTTCCAGGGTGCACCCGCCTTTCGCTCGTAGAAAGCTGGGGATAGGCACCACCACCACCCCTCATGACCCAGCAGGGGTAAAGCGTGATAGAAATAGATGGATAAAATTGAAAGGGTTATTGATACCAAGTCAGATTCATACTGGCTAACATGGAGGCGGCGTCTTAACCACATACTATAAGGGTAAAAATACTTGTTATTTTATATAAATCTAAATAGTTGCTTAATTACAATGGCCTTTTTACCATTTCCTCTACCCTGATACTTCCATAAAGGACGTTCTGTGTAGAAGTTTTGGGGACCATTTGTAAAATTCTGGTTAGTGGAATAGTTTCATTACAAAATAGGCCGCCATCCAATACATAAAGCAGACTTCCTTAATCACTCTAATTAATTGTTTCAAAAATAAAAGCTCATAAAATTTAAAGGTACTGTATATTCTAATATGTAGTAATCCAAAGAATGTATTATGTAAAATCAAAGACCTTGCCAGAGTTTTCAATCCATTTTGTGCTGCAAAACACAGAAAAAGAGACAAGTTTTAGTTTATTTCACCAACGGCTGAAAATTTGTTAAAGCTGAGATGTTTGTCTTTTCTTTAAGCTGGCTTGCAATTCACAACATATTTCCACCATTTACATGACTGAATGATTAACGTAGGCCTTTAAAAGTTTATTTCCTTCTCTTTCTCCTTCTCTTTCAGTATCAACCATTCAAGAATATTATATATTTAGATAGATACGACATATTTAGGGTTGTACATATACTAAGCTTTTTGTTTCTGCCCTTTATTTACCGGTAGTCATTTTTATTGATATCATATCCATTTACGAAGTTTTGCTTTTGACTAAAAAAAAAAGCAACATAAAATGTGAATATAGAATATTGGCCTTTTGAACTCTGGCTTGCCTTCTCATATTCTGAATGCTGTGATCTTTCTTGCAAATATATATTCCTTTTGACCTGTACCGCCTTTACTTTTTTTTTTTTCTACTTTTTTTTTCTTCCACAAAATCAGCCATAGAGAATAACTGTACACAGCATATAGAAAAAGAATAACTTGACAAAAGTGAAGCACTGATCCCTGTGCTTTAAGAGAAAGCAGGCTGCTGTCTCTTAATTTTTTCAGAACAGATAGCTTTGATTCTTCTCCATATATCTCCAAGCTCAGCTTAGAGAGAGTGCACACAGTGGAGCAGTGGTTGCTATAGAAGTTCATTGATACATCTGATAATTGACTTTATGTTCAACGAGGGAACAGAGCAATATGTAGCGGGGGCCTTGCACAGCATGGGTAATGTTGATTAATGTGGGTGATAGTGATCAAAGAAAAATCTCTGGGACCTTTAGGGGAAGCAGTTGAAAAGAGAGAAAAAAACAGATGTGAGCAGACAACACCCACTCTTCTGTTTTCATCTCATTATACTCGCTTTCTGTGCATCGGCAAGAGGAATGATCAGCAGAGGAGGAAATGGCAGCAGTTCCCTAAATGGATGCTTCTTCTGTCCCGGCAGTTGTCTCTCATATCTGTAAATTCAAGATTAGCTATTCCTACCTTCATCGACTTCCTTTTCTGCTTGGTGCTGAAAAAGAAAACCATGTTCCATGTGGGTGTTAGCTCATTTGCTATGTCTTGTTCTAATAGACCAAGAGGAAATTAGAAAATTAGTGAATCATTACCTCATTTGTTGTTGCATTGGATCATTACTGCACATAAAATGCAGTGTTTTCTGTTGCCAAAAGAAGCACATTTTCTCAGTTTATGAAAAGGTAATGTCATCTTCAAATTCTGTTTGGTTCCATTTGTTTACATAGCTTCATTTCACAACTAGTATTATGCAGAAGCTAATCCAGTTCAATCTGAGCTCAAATCCACCTACTTCATGTAACTCAGTACAATCACAGTGTCAGTGCCAGCTAAAAGACATTAAGTCTGATTCACATTAAATGACATTGCCACACAGTCAGAATTAACTGATGATTTAATGACAAAGGACCCAATTAGAGATCTAGAAAAGCAAAGAAGCACAGTAACTCATGACTTACTTTAATAAAATAAAATAAATTTTTTTAACCTTTAGGTTTTAAACTAGTTTTTATGTTTAATAAATATTTAATTATGGTGAAGGATGTCGCTGTATGACCAGACATTAGTGCTGCACTTGTTTCTGAATATTAAGTTATTGCATACATACAGTAGTTCGGCATTCCTGTGCTGACATGGAATATACAGTGGGCATGTTTACCTTATTTATTTGATGGAATTGTTGTTTTACAATATTTAATAAGCCTCCTAGATCCATCAATTATGGATCTGCTATTACCCCTAGCAACCGCATAGCATTTTCCGTCAAAATCTCGCTATCCAGACTACATAATGAAAGCATAGATGAAATATAACATTACAGAGCGCTGCTAAATTGTTTCCTTTGCACAATTTTTGTATCGGCTTGGGGAGACCATAGATTATTGGGAAAGCCCTGGAAGCAGTAAAAAAGTAGATTACTTTGGTTTGCCTCGGCGCTCTCTGGTCAAATGGAAACCCCATTGGCCAAAATTCAATATCATTATATCTTAAATGCCAAAGAAGCAAAAAATAAAGTTTTAACTAACGAAGCAATAAAGAAGTATTTCACTTTGGTTCAGCGGTTATAAAGGTTCTGGAGACACTATGATCACTACTATGATCTTTGTCTATTTTTCCTACCTTTGGCTGAAACGTTCCTTCTTCTACAACATTGCTGACTCTCACATGTGATTTATCTTTACAGCATAACAAGATTTTCTCTGTGACATTTAACCAACTATGAAATATCCTGTTGGGAGCACTGCTGCTTAATTATGGCCTACAACTTTAATTTGCTACATTTCAAAGACAGCTCACCTGCCGCTGTTAGGTGCCTGAGGCATTGCTAAATTTGTATCATTTAATGGCCTCTTGGTTGTTGAAGATTTCATTTATTCTTTTTCATTTCTTTGATCATGGAGCATTTTTTGTAGATTAGTTCACACAATAACTTACAGAAGTATGAAGCAAACACAATACTTGCCAGATCAGATTAGATCAGATCAGATTAGATTAGATTAGTTTAGAATAGATCAGATTACATTATATTAGATCAGATTAGATCCAAACAGAGTAGATTACATTAGTATAAATTAGATCAGGTGAGATAAGGTTACATCAGGTCAGATTAGATCAGATCAGATTAGAATAGATCAGATTAGATTTTACTAGATCAGATTAGATCCGAACAGAGTATATTACATTTGTGTAAATTAGATCAGGTGAGATTAAGTTGCATCTGGTTAGATTAGATGAGATCAGAATAGATCAAATCAGGTTAGATTAGATGAGATCAGATTAGATAAAATCAGGTTAGATTAGATAGAGTAGCTTAGATTAGATTCGATCAGATTAGGTGCCATTAGATTAAAATTCCAAAAAAAGAAAATAGAAATAAAAAACCACTGGACTTTGTTTCCAAGTTTGAAGATGTTTCGCTTCCCATCCAGGAAGCTTTTTCAATTCAAAATATCAGGAATAGTGTTGAGTTCAAGGTTTTATACAGTAGCCCATCAAAACCTTGTTTTTGTTTTGAAAACATGCAAATTGAAACGGCTGAAGGGTTCCACCCTATGGAATGGGTCGTTTGGCCTCTTTTCTTAGCCTACAATGCCCTATACCCATCCAAGTGTCTGAAAGGGAATTATTGGCCTGGCTGAATAGGTAATGTCCTCCGCTCTCCTGTACAGGGGCTGGGACTGCGATGATAGCGGGAAGGGATTAACTCAATTACTGTATTGTGGGTTTTATTAAACTGAAACCTGAGTCCACCCCCTCTGTTTAAGGTTGTTTTTCTGTTTCTTAACAAAGACGGCTTCCTTCATGCCCCTCTCAAACCACCTATTTTCTTTTTTATTTGCATAATGTGAACATTCTGGTCCTCAAAACAATGTCCTTTGTCCATAAAGTGTAGATGTACCGCAGAGTCTTGTCCCGAGGAGGTTGCTCTCCTGTGCTGGGCCATGCGTTTGTGGAGCGGTCAGATTAGATCAAATCTGATGAGATCATTACATTAGATTAGGTTCAGTTAGATTACATCAGATTAGTTTACACTAGATTCGATCAGATTAGGTAATATTAGATTATATCTAAGATATATCTAAGATATATCTTAGATTATATCAGATTTGGTTAGATTGGGTTACATTAGTTCAAATCAGATGATACTGTATACTATTACATTGACTTGGATTAGATCAGATTGAATCAGGTAAGATTAGGTTATATTAGATCAGACGACATTAGATCAAATGAGATTAGATTATGTTAGAGTAGATTAGATTAGGTTAGTTTTGATGTGATTAGATTAGATATTTTGATTGCAGATGAACACTCCATTTAGCCTCCAGTCTCAGAGTACACCGTTTAGAAGTAAAACTAGATTCCAATCCATGTCTCAGAATAGATTGTTCTGGTAGGACTCAATGAGAAATATTATGTTTCAAAGTTTATTGGTCATATTCTATCAGGTAGACAGTTTGCTAACTTTCCTTAGCAGAATTCTTAAAAAGAAATATTTTCTTCAAACTGGAATTGCTGTTTTAGAACCAGATGTAGAAGTTTCCATCTAAACAGGACCAAAACATGGTATTAGGTCACTAATGCTTTCAGTTTACTTGAGCCTTTTTTGAATTTATTTGTTCGAGGAAGCGTTAAATCACACTAAGGTTCCCTGAGGCAGAGAATTCATCTTAAAAAAAAAAAAGAAAAAAACCAAGATAAAAAAAGAAAAACTTTTCCAATTTTATCTTTAAAAAAACAAAGCAGCTTGGAAGAGATGAAAGAAAATCCACTTCACTGCTTTATGCCTCGGAGTGATTTAGACAGCTTATGTGTGCAGTTTTCTCCCCTATTTTGCTTCAGTATAGTGACATTTATTAAAGAGAACATGCAGAGAATAAAACAATTCATTCTGCTGGTTCTACAGGGATATCTCTGATTTTTGAGTTTCTTATCAAATCATTGTGAATATTTGATTATTCTCTCAGAAATGTTTGCCTTTTTTAGCTTTAACTCTACTCTTCCAGAGACATAAACATACAGCCCTATAGTTGTTATCTTTAAAACTATTTTCATTCATACTTAAAGAGTATTTTTTTACTTTTCTCCCCAGCATTCGAACAGAAATGAGACATGTTCATCAGAACATGGGTTACTGTCCTCAGTTTGACGCCATTGATAACCTTCTGACTGGACGAGAGCATCTGGAGTTTTATGCTCGGTTAAGAGGAGTACCAGAAGAAGAGGTTGCCATGGTAATTGTTAATTCTAATTGCTAACATTGTTTAGATTTAAGGACATTAAGTCAGAAAGCTCTTGATACAGATATACTGTATATATTGTGGTTTAGAATACTTACTCAGCTGCATGACAGCAAGAATACATGTTTAGAAACAAAAAAATCCTTGCAGACATTAGAGATAACCTGGATGCATGAAGCTATGCATAATAAAAAATGGCCCATGGAACAAAAGCAGCAGCTGTGGGTTATGGCTCTACATTATTCACGTGCCCAGTGGTGTGGCAGGCCCAAGGCGCCCTGGCTGCTCTTCTCTTACAGCGCCTGCCTCTGCAGCAGAAGGAAAAAAATCAAAAGAGTAAAGGGGCCGGCAGTGACCACAGATTCTGAGCCAAGACTTTGATGTCTTAGCTGCAGTGCAAACGGACCACAGTCAGCTAGCAGCACTGAAAATGTTGCAGCAGTTCATTGAGATGTTATTTTAAAGGCAAACTAAACAAACAGGGTTTTACTTGCAACTTGAAAACAAAATTTATCTCTAAACAATGCAAAAAGAAATTACTTTAGTCAGTAAAAATATTTGCATCCACTGGTCACATAATCATCAGCATGTAACACCTGTGTAAAAAAAATATTTGGTAGTATGATGCAATCAGACATTTAAACACAGTGATTTCGGGCAAAGATGTGATTATTTTCTGGCTTTTAATCATTTGTTTGACATTTTTTTTCAGTGCTGGAATAGATAAACTACAATTTATTAAATGTTAAAGAAATAAGAATTAAATGCTTAATAGGGTATAGAAAATAATTTCCCTTTGCTTTCTTTTTATCAAAATAAGGTAAAGAATGTCAATTCAGGACCAGATATTGAAAATACTTCAGATAATATTGAGTAAACACCCAAAAGTGGATTGGACTATTCTATGGAAGAAACATCTCACTCCTATTTTTCCTTTGCATTTCACAGATTCTTATCAAAAGGACTAAAACTGTGGCCTTTTCTTGAGTGTTTTTCATTTAATCAATATAGAGGAAATATAAGCTTTCAGACACAAGTGTTTACCTTGTACCACGCTTGAATGTGTGTGTGTTACAGACTTATTTGCTTGTTATTTAACTCAAGTTAAATTAAAAAAAATATTATACTGATCCCAAAGGGAACTTAGATGTAATAGTAGGATTTTTTTATGAGTTTTGTAGATGTTATTAGCTGCAGGCACAATGGTGACTTAAGACCCTCTGTTATTGTTTAAGAGTTTTCTGAGGAGGATGCTCAAAGTCATCCAAACTGTCCTTCCTTTTCATGAAGAATTAACCATTGTGAAATCATCTCCAGAGTTTCTAGAGGAGTTCCTTAAATAGTTCCCCACTGACCTTTTATGTTGCTTGCAAATGATAATGTCTGAAAGGTTAATAAGGCATCGCTAAGCAGCATGTAATTAAAGCCTTACAAAGCTCGCGTTTGCACGGACAGAATATTATTGATTCCTAGATTTACAATTAACAATTTTAAATCCATAACTCTAACACTTTCCATCTCCTGAAAGGTGGCAGAGTGGGGGATTCAGAAGCTGGGGCTGGTGAAATACACCAACAAGTCAGCTGGAACCTACAGCGGTGGGAACAAACGCAAACTTTCCACAGCAATGGCCCTCATCGGATGTCCACCTGTGGTTTTCTTGGTAAGATGGAGTTTTGTTATCATTACCACACGGTAATGTTTATGAAAACATTACCGTGTGGTATTTTATTTCAATATTTGTTCATTGAGTATGATCAATATTTTCTTTCTATTCACTTGGAGATGGAAATAGTAATGAAATATGAAGTTATGTCTAAGAGGTGGAAAAAAAAAAACAAGTAATGGATCAAAGCTGCATATCCTGATTCTTTTCCCTAAGGAGTACAAATGTAAAACTTGCATCTCTTACGTTTAGATAAACTTTTATTGTGTCGGTTCTGAGAGTGAAAAACATTTCTTTAAAAGAATTATAAAAGCTGACAAAAGTAGAAAAAAACAATCTCTTTCAATAGGTTAAGAAAGGAAACTAAATATAGCATTAAATACAGTTACTGAGAATTTTATACTCTTAAGGAATAAAACCGCTGCGAGAAAACCTGCATTTTTCTGTTTCTGAAAACAACAGTGTGGACTTTTTACAGTAGTAATAAACAATAAGAAGAATCTACGATGTGGGTGGTATTTCTAGCCTTGGCTGTAAAGAATTTGTGACAATAATAGTACATTGCATAGAGTCTCTACTTAGGTGTAGGAAAGAAATTAACGTGTGTTGTCTCTGAAAGCCATGTCTTTACAACAACAACAAAAAAAAACCTCAAAAGAGCTAAAACAAGAACCACTTATATCAGAGGTCCACAACCTAAATCATTAGAGCCATTGTGGCTGGCTAAATAAAAGTCATTTAGAGCCAGAAAAGATTAGATGAGCATTTTCCATAGGAAATCTGCTGTCATCTTAAATAACCAGCAGCTTATTTATATTAACTTTTAAAAGAAGAAACATAAAACTCAGAAAGAGACTCAGAGAGATTAGGCATTGATTATATTCAATAGAGTATTTTTTGATGACAAAGAAAAAATAAAATACAAAATTTCCACGCTAATAAAAAGACAAGTAGCTCTAATAGCTCTAAAACATATTTCTGGTCCATTTAATTCCATTATGTTGGGATTAAAATGATTCAAGCATCCTTTATAAAAACCAATAAAGCTTCTCCAACTAATTTTTAAAACTATTTTTATCCCTTATTAAGAAGAGCTGTTGTAGAGGGTCCAAAGAACCAATAGTGGCTCCAAAGCTGCAGGTTGCCGACCCCTGACTTAGTTGATTATCTAGTACAGTTATTACAAACTTGGTGGTATCTAGATACTAACTCCAACAAGCCCCTCAAGCTGGGTTTCAGAAACTCTATGCATGACATCAAAAATAAACCAAGTTTATGTCCATTAACAAATTACATTTTGCTAATTTGCCTATATGAAAATGTGAAGTGGAGGCAAGATTGCACTTGGTTTTGTTTATTCTCTTTTGAAATGTGCAACAAGTAACACCATTCACCAACCTGAGATGCTTTCAGCCGGTGGGGCCTCAGTGTGTTTCTGTGTCTTCATGTAGTATGGCAAATTAAATTTAAAAAAAAGTTTTTCAGCAGTAGTATTATATTGGGACAGAGGTGGATAGTTACTAGGTTTACAATTTGTTACATTTGCTTAGGTAGCTTGTAAAAAAAAAATACTATGGAAATTGTATTGTACTTTTTAAGTTCAATTGAGGAATATTTGTATTACATTCCTCCACCCTTAATGAATAAACCTTTTCCCTGTTCTCCAACGTGGTAGACAGACCATGCTTATATGTAGTGCCCTTTTAAGTTGGAGTTCTCCACAGCGCTTAACAATACATTAATTTTAGAGATCGACCGATACTGATCCTTTAAGGCTAACTCAGATTATTTTTTACTTCAGTCTAACTATCCCTTACAGTACAGATTTTGGAGGCCGATTTTTGAAGTGACAGGGTTCCCGCGGGTCCTTAAAAAGTCTTAAAAGGCATTCAATTCTTCAAATCAAAACTAAGGCCTTAATTGGTATTAAAATGTCTTAAATCAGTCTTTCTTAGGTCTTAATTTTTAAAGCTTCATTAAAAAAGGATTATTTTATTAAGTTTTATTTCTGTAGTCTAAATAAAATATTAAAATTGACCTTTTCTTTTTTTATAAAAAAAAATAATGGCTCGCCATTATTGGTTCCGTCCTGAAGCGGAACCAATAAAAGCGTTGTTGCGGCCGGGACGTTTAGGAGATGCACCATTAACTGTTTGTCTGGAAAATATGAGCAAGTGTAAATGTAACCAAAATCATTTCTCAATGACTAAAACCAGGGAACATACATGAGGCACAGTGTATTTTGTGCAAGAAGCGATTCAAGCTCGGAACGATGGGAATTAAGGCAGTGAAGTCGCACATGCGAAGCGCGAAACACAAAGCTTCAAAAACGAGTTACCCAGAAACAGCCGGTATTTCTCGGTTTTGTTCCACCCTTGTCTCTGCAACGCCTCCACTTATGACCAAATCAAACATACTAAGAAAACGATACAAAGAAAAATGGATGCAAAAAAGACTTAGAATTGGTTATGTTGTGGCTTTAAAACTGATTTGTTTTGTTCCCTGCTAAAACAAAGTTTGTGAATTCAGTTAAATAATTGTTAAAATATATATTTGTCATTTGTGTGTTTTTAGCTTTCTTCCTGTATGGGAAGTTTTTCAAAATTTTAAACATTAGTGCAATGGTTTATGTTATAATAAACCTTTGGGTTAAATTGTCGCAAGCAGGTTTTTCTTGTGTTTCTTGTGAATTTGGTCTATTTGGTCTAATTTTTATTTCAAGTGGCATTAAAAAGTCTTAAAAAGACTTGAATTTAATTTGCCTTATGCTGTAGGAAACCTGAGTGAAGATTCCCTTTTTTTTCGTCCATTACATGAGAAAATTGTGATTTTACATGTTACTGGTCTTTATTTAAAAAAAGAGACATTGCCAAACATATGGTGAGAAGAGTTATCACAACATCTTCACTAAAGACAGAGAGAATGGAGGAAGAAAGGAACATTCTGCGGAGATGAGCAACTCTGAACCATATTTGTGCGGCTCAGAGATTTTGTGTGGCTGCTCGCTCTTCCCACATACAATGGTTCTCATGGAGACCGTCCATGAATATCCAAACAAAACACTCTTAAAAAACAAAATTAATAACTTTTTATGTGTTGTGACCTGCTAACACAAAATGAATGCCAAATCCTTATTTTAGACTAGATAAGGCCCACTCCTTGTTGCCCTTTTTTAATTAATTTTGTTTTACACTTTCTATCTCCTTAAAAGTAAAGTGGAAAAAAAAAAAGTTATAAAGGCAGGCAAAAAATAAAAACACTGACCTTAAGAAACATGAATTATCATCAACACCTTCTAGAAAACCAATAAGTCCTTCTTTGGAAGGAAAGTTTAAATATATCATGGTTTGTTTTTCTGATCCTATCGGGAGGATGGAGTAGTTAATTTATTTTTCTAAGCTTGTTATCTGTTTTAAGGGTTAGAGCATCAGCTAGCTTGGTAAGCAGTTGACAGTCTTAATGGCGAGGGTTTCACATTTTCGCAGCGCTGTGCTCTGCGTGTGTTTTCCTGGCCCTTACGCTCATTTAAAGTAAGGATATCAGCATAATTCCATTGTAATTCTAAATGTTTTAACATAACCAATTTGAGAAGAGTGGTAAGAAAAGCAGAAAAGATCATTGGGGCTCCTCTTACATCCATTAAAGACATTTCATCCTAGCACTGCGTGTCCCGAGCCTGTAACACCATTAGCGACCCCTTACACCCCCACCATGGACTGTTTTCCCTACTGCTCTCTGGGAAGAAACTTCACATCATCCGCTGCAGGACCCGTAGGTTCTGCAACAGCTTTTCCCCCACTGTCATCAAACTGTTCAACTATTAAACAGAGTGCAGAGTCCAACGCACATTATTTTGCACTACCAATGTTGCTGAACGTTCCTAATCCTTTTAAATAGAACACAACTCAATGTTTTTGCACCATATTTAAAGTGGTTTATTTTTTCTCCTACATTGTTACATTCTGATCACTGCTGTACTTTATATTGGGAATATTCATTTATTCCAACTGCAATCTCATTACACTGTTGTAAGTTTTATGCAACGTAAATTTGTTTTTTTATACACTCTGTGCATACAAATTGACAATAAAGTTTGTCAAAGTCTGTGCTGAAATGTTGTAAGAGGAAGCCCAGATGTCAGTGAAAGGGCTTTATGATTATTAAAAATTTGCATTTTGGCCTAATTTCAGCATAACTGGGACTTTTTCAGCGTAATGTCCCTCTACGCTGAAATACTGTATGCTGATAAGAGTTCTGTTAAGTAGGGAAGAGAGAGTGGTTTAGATCTGTATAAATGTTGTTGTAGGAAACAATGAACAAAAAGAACATTAAAAGCAAAAAAATTAGATAGACCACATCCTGAGTTTTATTATTACTGGAAACCAATATTGAGGGCTGTTTTATTATTAGTATTTCTGTTTTTTTTCTTGTTGCTATCATACATTATGCACAAACTAACAAACTGATGAAACTAACTAAACAGATCCACATCCAAATGTAAATTATGATCAAATAATTATCATTCCCATGTTCTGCCAAGGACCAGTTATGATCACAATTTCATATAAACCCATCCTGTTACCAAGCGCACAAAATGAACTGTAACCATATACTTCCTCAGCAGGGGTAATAAAAAGAACATCTAAATGTGCCAAATATGTAATTTCCACATGTAGCAATATGACATCTGTTAGTTTACTGAATTATTCAACTTTTTTTTCGCTCCTTCACTATAATATATGCATAGCAGTTCATAAGTTTATGCTTCCAATAACTTAAGCACAGTAATGAATAATCCATAATAAATTACATGTAATAGGATAATCTTTACAGCTTTGGCGGGATCAAATTGTGCACACGGTCCCAAACTGCTTTATTTAGTCCCCACAGCCAAGTTTACCCTTCACTTTGAAGCTAAGGGATAATGTGGCATCTGTGTCAATTTCAGCATTTTGTGGTAGCCCAGGGAGCCCAGTCAGCCTTGAGGCAGCACCACATAGGGTTTTTCTTTTTCTTTCTTTCTTTTTTTTTTTTTGTACTGGCTCTCGTTGGGCATCCAGACCAAACCCTTGGGATTTGTAGGATTCAGTTTCTGAGGGAAGTCTGGAAAGAAACCAGTCAGACTGAGGACTGTCACTCTAATCGTGTGTGAACAGACAGGCCCTGAGGAAAAAAAAGAAACAGCAGCGGCAGTCTGTGTGTGTGGTGTTGAGTTGTGCTGAGCTGAGCTCAGCCTGCTCGGGCTTCAGCCTCTGTACTTATTATGTGCACAGGGGTGTTATGGTCAGAAAAAAAATTCACTGTACACTGGTTGTCTGTGTGTTTTTAGATGTCTGTCTTTTTGTTTCGTATTCTTTGTGTTATGTGTGCATTGTACAACCGCAGTGCACCTTGCCAGATACAGGACTTTGCTGAACAGATGGCGCTCCATGGTTCCAAAAAGTATTCCTTATTAAGGTGTATGAATACTTTAGTCAAAAGAAAAGAGTGGGGTATTTTTTTTTACTGTACGTAGTTTCTTTTTTTTTTCTCATATGCCATCTGCGGTGCTTGTGAAAAATATCTGAAAAATATTCACACCCCCTGAGAATTTTTTTTTTTTCACATGAAAACCAAATATTTTTAGGGGTACTGTGAGTGCCTAACGCATGGATGGGCAATTCCACTCCCTGAGGGCCAATGATGCAGCTTTCAGATTCATCCTAGGTCCAACACACCTGAATCAAATGGCTGAATTACCTCCTCAGTATGTAGTCACTTTCTCCAAAGCCCTCTTAATCATCTAATTACTTAATTCAGGGGGGTTGCTGTTCAAACTTTTTGTCAAACAGAAAAAAATCAGCAAGTTAAAAGTACAATCCTCATTGGTCACAAAAATTACTATTGTAAATTAGAAATTAGATTAGATTTCTTTAACTTTTAGCTAACAAGCAACAATACCCCCCCCCCAAAAAAAAAAAAAAAATTAGATGTCTCTTTTTTCTTTAAGAAATGTATAAAATTCCCTTAATTTTATGGATAAATTTCCTTTTTTTTTTTTCAATCTTACAACAAATTTTTTTTTTGCATGACCAATCAGAAATCAGGTCCCCTCTCATCAGAAAAATCAGGCTGTATTTTGACCAAGGTTAAATGGGTGCCCCAGGTCTTCCTTGGATGTTGAAGTTTGCTGTCCTATTTACCATGAAATTCAATTAAAGCATAAAAAAAACCTTAGTAAGAGACAAAAACTGTTTTAGCTAACTTTTTTTTTTCATTTTAAGAAGTTTTTGTATTTGTCATTTAAGAATTTAATCGAAAAAGAGGGTCTGATTATTTAATATTTTGTGTTCTTAAATTGCCATCATAGGCTAAAAGAAATCATAAACCAGGCTGATAATATAAAATGGTCCACGGCTTGAAAAAAAGTTTTTATATGTCTGAAAAATTTGCCTTTTGTTTTTGCAAATAGTTAAAAGGTATAGTGGAGGATTTTTGCAACTCTTAAAAAGACTTGCCCTCTCCACGTGCACAAAAATGCACATGTTCAACCCTGTACCAGCTCCCCAGAGGAAACGCCTATTAATGGCATGAAAGAGCATGCGCAAGCCCATTTTTCCTCGTGCATCCTCTGTTTAAAAGTTGTTTGCATCACTCATACAAGCTTACTAGGAGGTTCACTTATTTTGATGATCCACTTAGAAAAATAACATCCTTCACTATATAACTTTGGATGAACTACAGAGATCAACAATTTGGTTAGGAGATTCTTTAGCCAGGGCAACTATAAGTTGTAACTATAAACTAGCCCTGATGAAATAAAATGATACACATAGGGAACACAGCAAATTTTTAGAGGGTCGGCAAGGCTGAAAAGGAACCTCCTGACTTGCCTAAAGGTCTGCAAGAGAAAACTAATACTCCACATCAACCTGACAATGCTGGGAAAGGTGACACGTGGTAGTGGCTCTATGATGGAGCGCAATTTTTTTTTCTTAGCACTGAGTTCAGGAATGGGTTATAATGAGTTATAATAAAAAATTGCCAAATATCAAAAGGGTGCTCAGAGGGACTGCTGGCTCCAGTGTACAGCAGCCTCACTTCTGTCAGTGAGCCCCAGTGCAGCTGTGGCGAGAATGTAGCTTGCCCCCATCAGTTTGTTAGTTTGTGCATGAATGACTGCATGTAGTCTAACGTGCTTTGGTCAAGTCTCCCCACTTATAACTACAGGCCATTTCTAATAATTGCATTACAATATTTTTGAAAGGTAGATTCAGCATTTATTGATGTTTTCATGGAAGCAACAGTGGGAAGAGATAAATAGCCTAACAGTATTATTATAAGTTAATGAATTAGCAAATATACCTCATCTGTTGTTATTGTCATTAAATTTGCATGGATACTCCCAATTTTAATAATTTAGCCCTATGATAATAAACTACAACATAGGAACCCATTCCTCCATGATAGGAAGGCTAGTTGATAGGAACATTGATGGAGCTAAATACAAGGAATTTTCTTAGGGTGAAGCTGTTGAAAGGAAAAAACCCTGTCAGTCTCTGCAGCACAAATTGAATTAACCTTACAAAATATATAAGATAGGATCTGCATTCTGTTGACACACAGACAACGCTATAGGGAAATGGATTATATAAAAATATATTCATTCTAAGTTGTTCTCCAAGTTCAAAGCTTATAGGTTATATTGGGGGACCGTGCATTTCTATCTCAGTTTGTGGCAAACAGCTCCACTCTGCAAGTTATTCTATAAACAATGTGATGAATTCAAAAGAAATAGAAAGATATCTGTTTAATTTATTTCATTGTACCGCAGGATGAGCCAACCACTGGAATGGACCCCAAAGCCAGACGCTTCCTGTGGGACTGCATCCTAAGTGTCATCAAAGAGGGACGCTCAGTTATTCTTACATCACACAGGTGGGGCCTTTCTCTTCTCATCGATCCTCCTCATATCCTCTCACCCAGTCAAAATATTTAGACTCTCCTCCAGGCAGAAAAATACGGAAATCATGTTTTCTGTACAGGAACAGGAGCTCTAAATATTGTAATTATAATTGATTGAAATCGTCGTTTTTGTTGAGAGGTATTGTTTCCCGAGTGGTAGTTAATATTGGCTGCCAGAAACACACTGGCTGCTATAAAGCTTTCATGAAGCGTGAGGGCATATCGACTGGCTGCAGCTTTTTTTTTTTTTTTTTCCTTTTTTCTTCCTCCTTTAAAGGGGAAAATGTCAATATCAGTGCAGGAGTCTTTTTATTATCTAACACTTCCTGAAGCAAACTTAAATTCCCAAAGTTTTTGCCTTCTGAAAAAAAAAAAAAAAAAAACTTAAAATTTTAATTGTTTACTTACTGGATCGTTCTTTTCAACATTCTCCAAATGGAAACATTTGCTCCCTCCGGCTCTGTTTCATTTGGAATAGATCCTCCTCATTACACGTGCTCCTTTTATGGGGGAATAAAAGCATTTGTTGTTGTCACAGGCAATGTGGCAGAGCTGCGTCCAATTGTCCATGTCATGACCAGGTGGTCTGTTTTGTTAGGTGGCAAATTCATCGGGTTTTACAAAGTCATAATGATAATTGTGCTATTCTTCAGAAAGCAGTCACGGGTTTTGCTTCAACTACTTTTGGCTAAAGCTGAGGTCCAACAATAAAAGGGACCAAAAAATAATAGGGATACAGATGGCACTCTGTGTTCACTCTAATTACCAAATTTGTTCTTCATTTAAGGTGTCAGAGTGGATGTGTAAAGTTACCAGACCAAAGCTTTAGCTTAAAGACAAATGTACTGTAAAAAGTAATTCCAAATGGGAAATATGTTGTTTTCTTTAGATGCATTTGTTTTAAAGTAAAATTTTCCTCAAGTAATGAGTTATACTATTTCTTTTACCTGCTAACCTTCACCTCTTTTCTTTAACAGTATGGAGGAGTGTGAAGCACTGTGCACTCGTATGGCCATCATGGTAAACGGGCGCTTCAAGTGCCTTGGAAGCATCCAGCATCTAAAAAATAGGTGAGGATTCTTATTTTGCCTTAAAACCCAAATCTGTGTCACAGGAATGTATACAAAATTGAATATAAATCTAAGAGTAGGTGAATTACAGTATGACGTTTTATAGTTAATTTAAAGAAAAATGCACCATAGTTTCTTCTTAGAGGATAATAAGAGATGTACAGCTGTTTACTTACTTAGTTATTGACACACCTAACAGTACTTCAAAAGTGTAGCTGACCTGTTGCAATCTACTCTACTCTATTTTAAGGTAATCAGAGTTCCTAGGGCCTTTCCTTGAAGTAAAAACTCTGGCCACTATGTCGGGAGAACTGCAGCATAAACTGAGAAAAAAAAAAAAAAAGACACACAAACTTCTATATCATGACATAAAATAAGAGTAAATAAAGTTGCATCTTGCAGTCGGAAGTCAAACAGGCTGTTTAACAAGCCTGGCAAAAAAATATATACAGTAGATATATTTCATGACATCAGAAATGTAAACACATCATCTTTCCTAAGCTCTACCTGGTCTTTAACTTAGACTGTATTCTTTGGCCAGATGAGACTAGGAGTAAAGATTGACCACTTATGGTGGTTTGAAATAAAATAAAAGATGTATGATAAAGCACCTCATGCTTGCTGCATAGTATGATAGAGGTAGCATGATGCTACCGATGGTTTCTCCTCAATAGGCCTCAGTAGCCTTGCTATTGTGCGTGACATAAAGAAAATTTTGTAACACTTTGATAATTTACATAAAAATCTTTAGGACTGTGGTAGAAAAATTGGGAATTTTGTGTCGTTCAGCACAATATACTGTGGACTGAAACGTATGGACAGACTGAAAAAGAACTAAAGAGACACATAATTAACCTCATTGCATGGTCATCATTGAAGCTGAAGAGAGTATAAGTAGAGGGTATCAGAACTTAGAATAATCTATGGGGATTGTGGAAAGAGAATTGGCTTTAGAGCTCTTTGTTTGCCTCGACCCTTTACAATATTCCCAAAGTACACTGATTTGTTCTGCATAGGTACACATTTTTAAAACTAAATCAAAAACATTTAAAACTATTGTCTGTTGAAATATGACTTTTTTTAAACAGATAGAAATACTTAAAGTCTTAACTTTCCTAAAACTTTCACTTTGAGATAATCTTAGTGAAATGAAAATAATATTTTAGTTTTTTGACAAGCATTTACTATGCTTTTATTATGTTTACCTCTGCAGATAAAAGTATAAAAGATTGAGTATTGAACCTTCAGGCCAGGATGGTCAAGCGATTTTTATGTATGAATGTATAAATAAATAAATACAAACAGCAGAAAATACCAAATTACAGTAATAATAATAAAGGTGCACTTTACCTGTGGCTGTTTGATTTTATTTTCTAACGTGTAAAAATTAACAGTAATTTTGCTCTCATGGAGATGAGAGCAAAATAGGAGTATTTTGCTCATCTAAAGATTGTTCATCTAAATTCAGCTCAAACAACAATTATACGTTTAAATATCTACTGTAGCATGGAAATTTGCAGTTTTAGGTAAAATTACACTACTTGCTAGTTGTGAAAATACACATTAACCAGCTCTGCTGGAGTAGCCTGATTTTTGTATTATGATAATAAATGGCTAAAAGCAAATTCCATTCAATACGGGATTTAGGCAGGAACATGCTCTGCATTTGATACACAACATACAAATACTTATGTTAACACCCACATAAGAGTGTATTTAATGTATATTTACTACCCTTGCAGCCTATTAACTATTACCTATGTCAGGCAAAGAGGTGATATAGTTATTTACTGCAAGTCTGTACTCATCCCACATCTTCCTTCCTCCTTTTTTTTAAGAGGAAAATCCTATATAGTCTCAATTAATGGCATTATTGGTGCTCCTGCTCTCAATCTCAGAGACATCTATAGAGTTACATGTTGCATTTTGTTGCATCACTCTGACAACTAACTTGCATTTTCTAATTTGTATAGAATTTGAATTAGTATGTAACTTTGTATGTGACATCCATTAATGCTACATTTATAAAAATCTTTATTACCTCAGGTGCATTCTTTGCCACTTCCTTTGTTTGTGCTTGTAAGATGAATGGTGTTCCACCAACACACACCCACATGCAGACACTAACTTCCCGACCAGATGACGTGGTGGCAATTGCTGGTTGGAGAGTTGGATCAATACACCTGAGATGAGGGGGCGGAGCAGGCCATTTGTCAAGATGTGCAGGGGATTATGGGAAATGTGTGAAACAGCGTGATGGGGGTGGCAGTGTCAGGGGTATATATCCCATCAAAAGCATTAATGTCATATGAAAAACTGAGGTTTTAGATCACCGCAGAGAAGAAAAATGTGGGCTGCTCTGTAGAGAGTGCTATTAAAAGATGGGGAGGATTGAGGTGAAGGACTAAAGTGGGAGGGGATGAACTAATCAGTCCCTCCCAGATGTTAGGGTAACAGGCAAATTGTCTGTGTCAATTATGCCCCGAGTATAAGGCTGCGAGGTGGATCGTGTAAATTATTTATGAAGTAAATTGAAGTTATCAGATAGGTGAGAACAATGCAAGGTATGCAGGGGGAGGAGGGGCGGGAGGGTGAGCACGTGTCCTACTTCACTCCACTTGCCATTAGGCAAAAAGGGGAATCTCACTCCACAAGACAAGCAAGTGAGGAGGAAACCAGATAAGCTTAGCGTCTACATAGATTTTCGCTGCACTTATTTTAGATCTCACACGGACAATTTACACGCCGCAGAAATACTATCGCTCAGCTCTCTCTGTGCAGTGAATAATTTCTAATTAAGCTTCCCTATCTCCACAGCGCTCAGTGTAATTAATGTTTCATGAGGTGTGAGACCCCGTTAATGACTGAAAAGGCAATTAAGCAATGTCTTTTCTGTTTTCTTTTCTTGTCATTATCTCGCCACATGTTTGTGCTGTCGCACATCGTCTACACACACACTGCTACCACTGAAATTTACTAAGAAGAAAAAAAGTTCAAAGCGCCTCTTGAACTCTTTTGCATTACTACATGTTGCACAAACATCAATGTTTTTTTATTGGGATTTTATATGATAGACCAAATACAAAATAGTACATAACTGTGCATGTAGAAGAAAATATTAAGAGTTTTATATATATATATATTCTACAGTTTTTTCTATATAAACAACAGAAATAAAAAACCTATGTATTTCTGCACAGCCCATCTGAGGCAATCCTTTGTAGAAGGACCCTTTTAATAAAATAGCTTTGCAATTCTTGTGGGATGCATCTCCATGACATAGTTCAATTTCTGTCCGACTGAATGGACGGCATCTACAAATATCAATTTTCAAGCCTTGCAACTGATTCTCTATTGGATATCTGAACTTTGACTAGGTTATTCATCATTCAATTGTGCTGTAGATCTGGCTTTAGGTTTAGCTTTTAGCTTTGTTTCCCTGTTGGACCTGTTGACTCGGTATTTTTTTCCGTCTATCACCTCAGCTCCCCTGCCCCTGCCATCTCAGCCGCATGATTCTGTACCACTATGTTTCAGCCTGAAAATCTTGCATTAAGGAGGATGCGCACCCACAAATAACACGTTTTACCCCATAAGTTACATTCTCATCAAAATTTATACAGAGGATATTCCTCACACATTGTACGGTGTCCCCTTTATGCCTTGTGGCAAACTGAAAATGGGACTTCTTCTACGGTTTATTTCAACCATGACTTTCTTGTTGCTACTCTACCATAAAGGGCAGCTATGAGAAGACACACAACAAATCGTCCAACAGATTCACCCGCCTTGTGAATGGATCTCTGCAGGATTTCTTCTCTGATTATTTCTCTTTACAGTGCTTTTAATTTGTGACATCACATTTCCATTTTCAGATGAAGATTGAAAAGTTCTCACTGAAATGATCAGAGCTTTAATAACATATTCCTGCTTCACAATTCTCCAAAACCTGTCCCTGACTTGTTAACTGTGTTACAAAACCTTCATCATTATGCTGTTTCCTTACTAATTTTCTTTCATAAACCGATGTTGGACTGTATTTATTTGAGACTTGTGTCTCCGGTTAAAATGCATGCTGCACCTTTCTGTTCACTTTAAATGCTAGTTAAACATATAGAATTTGCTTGTTGTCACATGACAAAACTATATAAAGTTATAAAGTCTGAATATTTTAACAGCTACTGGCTATCTCTTCTTAATGTAAAAGATAATGTGCAGGTTTGCACAGGTACTTTAGTGTACATGCTGTTACCAGTTTGCAGATGGTAAAGCTGCTATAAATGGGAGAGGCACTGTGCTGAAGGCTTAGGCTTCATGTGACTTTCACGCTGTGGGAGCGTCTTGACCTGCAAAGCGGGAGGTTACCACTTTGTCCCCTCAACACTTGCCCCTCCATCCTTTTATATCACAAGCAGTCTGGAACCAAGAGCACCATCTCACCGTTGGGGGCAGCTCTCACATTTTGACCCCCCATGGCTAACATGTAAGACATGTTCACCCGTTAACATTTACAACCCTTCATTCCTTCACTTACTCCCAGAATCCCCACTCTTCAAAAACCTTTATCTGAATCATCTCTATTTGTCTCTTTTCACTGCTTTTTGAACTTCCAGTCGTTTTTGCAAGTGCTGCCCCCTTTATTTTGTCATCAAATTTTTGGATAGCATTGAAATGTTGTTCTTCTACTTAATAAGCTAACTTTTATGAGAGTCAAACAACAAATGAGCCAATTTCTGCAACTAGTGAGGTGGTCATCATGTGAGAAGAAGGCTGAAGATTAAGTTTGGGCAGACCCTTCTGAGTAGGCAGGCAGCACCTTCTTTTTCCCCATCCATCTGTTTATCCCTTCTCATATACAGCCCTCTTAAATCACTCACATTTCTGGAGTTTATGAAAGAGGATTGTGATAGTGAGGAATAAATAAGCAAAAATAAAAAATGCACAGGAGGCTGTAAATTGGTTTTTAGTATGGTGGCGAGCTCATATGAAAGCTCCCAGGT